AAGGTTCGTTATAAGGGAATCTATTAGCCTTATATTGAATAACGTTTGGACCATAACCTAATTTATTTGATCTCATATTATTCGTATATTATTCATATCAAAGAAATATGTGATAATTTATTTTATTAAAAAAACATACCTGGATCTATGGCGCTCATCATCAAGGGTGTATTGAGACTACTATTTGAATCCTCAGTAGACGTATAATAAATATCAAGCCTTATAGTAGAGGCATTGTTCATTTGGAAATCTGATCTAAATGTTCCATTAAAAGCCCCAATATAGGTGACACTACTTGTAGTTGGTATAATAGATGGATTGCAAGAAGTAATGTTGAACCCTTTGAAACATTTTGAGTCAGATAAGTATATATATAGACTATATTCAATAGTACATTATTTTATATAAAGATAATGTGCTGCGGAATAGAGCAATAATAATGAATTAATTAATCACAATAGCAGGTAAATGTTTCCTACCGTTCTCAATGCGAGTACAATTTATCGTAAAATTTCTTTGAAACATGAAATAGACATCTGTGTTGATAATGTAATGTAGTTAAAAATTTCGATAAATCATTTGGTTATTTTTAAAAAAAAAAAAAGCTTTTTTTTTTTTACTTGGTGCAGGTATATTATTCGGGCGTGATTGAGTGTACTTAAGACTGGGCAAATCACTTCGAACATCGACAATCAATACCACAAAACATGCTATGATTAACGCTAGTAATACGAATATGACAACACGTCGAATCAATAAAACTGTCTGTGGTTCAGCTTTACTTGGTCTCGCAATTAAGTGTGCCAGCATTTGTTGTATAGTTTGTATAGGAATATCTTTTAATAAACCCAAATTACTTCCCTTGCTTTTTGTTATTTTATAACTGTTTTTCAAAAAGGTGTGAACAGGCACAGATCACCTTATTACGGAAAATACACGAAATTCCCAATTTTTACTAATTAAAATTTCCATTTCCCACAATTTAGGTATACGAAATTGTTGTTCACACCTTTTTTAAAATAGCTGTTGTAACATACAGTAAGACCAATATTAATTATAAACCGTAATTTGAATACTTTAGTATTAGCTAAATTTGGCAAGGAACCAGTTTTTATTGACTGCATCGTCGAATGCATCTCTCCCACCGAAATAGATGGTTATTTCATACAATCAACTATGAGATCAAATAAATTAGGTTATGGTCCAAACGTTATTCAATATAAGGCTAATAGATTCCCTTATAACGAACCTT